CCCTCCGCCCCGGGCCCGCCGGGTGCTGTGGGGGCTGGCGCGGGCAGAGCGTGCCTGAGGGGCCCGGGCGGGAGTGGCACTGCCCTTGTTCCCCCCGCCGCTCCCTGGTGCCGTGCTGAGGCTCGGGACACTTGGGTCTCTTAGCACCACACCCCGTTCCTCATTCTGGCTCCCCCCGAAGTGGTGTTTTACCCCGTTTTAAATCCTAAATCCTGCCCTTGAGCGTGGCACTAGCTCACAGCACAAGTCATGCTGGGCTCGGGCATCTGCTTCAGCTGTGCAAAATCGTAGGAGATACTCCTGAGGAAATAAATGATAAAGGGAAAATAGGAGTTTAAAAAAAATTAAAAATATGATCTCAGGAGCCTGCAATCGGTGGGAGAGGTGAGAACCACGGCTTGTGGAAAAAGCCCTGTGTGTCCCTGTTGCTGTGTCCCTAGCTGAGTCCCGGTGAGGATGTGTCTGTTTGGATGTGGTAATTTCTGTGGTAGAGGGAAGTGGTGCGGAGGGTGTGCTAAATCTTGAGGGAAAATGTGTGCTAAATCCTGAGCTTTTTTGAGGTGTTTGTCAAGGAAATACTTGAATTGTCATACTTTGCATGGCAATTGTGAGCCATAAACGACAGGACTGGAGGAAGCAGATCCACTTGAATGGGCCAACATTCATGGGTAGTTATTTGTTATGATAGAGATGAAAATTATAATAGACTTTTCTTGTCGATGTAAAGGATAAGTGGTATTTATTTAATATGTGTTAAAACATATTGGCAAGGATTTGTTTGGGGCTTTTGGAGAAGGGAGGTGCTTTACTAAAAACTTTGATGGGTCTCTCTGTGCATCTTCAGCAATGGAATTTGCAGACAGCACTCTGCACCTGAGAATTGGATCACGGATTGATGTCCCACCCTGATCTAATACATGGTGATCTTTGTTGCCAAAGGCAGTAAGAAAAGTACTGAGGAGTTAAGTGGAGTAACTAAGTGCTTCATGTTTTATGGGGAGCAGTCATTTCTGAAAGTGAGCTGAAAATAAAACCACTTCACTTGTATTTTTTTCTGTTTTGTTCTCACCTTTATGGTAAGAAGAAAAGAGAAGATTTTTTGCAGAAGAGATGAGGCAAAAAAAAGATTATTGTGGGAAAACCTGTTGAGAAAAATGCAAGTAACTGTGAAATCTTTCAAAGCATGGGAAAAGAAAGTTTCTCAAATGTTTCAGATCTTGACACAATATAGACTAATCCTAGTTACAAGATTTGTAAGAGTCATCATTTTTGTATGGAAAACCTCAGCCCTTCAATGATGAATTCAAACTGGGAATAGCCTTGTGCAAATTTATGCTAATTAGAGCCTAAATCTTCCTAGGA